AGGCATTAACTATAAATGGTAACAAGGGGTCTTACTGGAGGAATGAAAATGTTCTAAAATTGAATTATGGTGAGAGCTGCACCCCTCGATATTACAAAAATCACTGAACTGTACACATGCAAAGGGAAAAATCTGATATAAAATCAAGATCAACTAAGTTGTTTTTAAGAATTGTCTGAGAAGCAACATCTCATTTAAGTTAACAAACCTGAACTCAGAGTCCATATAAAATTTATATTTGACTGAATCAAAAAAAAAAAAGTGGGACGAAAAGGGATGGTGATCTTCACAGCAGAAAGCCCACTAATAAAACATGTCTCCCCACTGGAAACTTTAATTACAAAAAGAAATATAGTAACTTCAGTGGTAAAATGGCAGACATCCCCTTCACCAAGTGAACAAAATTGACATCACCAATATAAAAACCAAAATACGTCCTTCAGCTCCTGTTATGTTGATTGAAAAGGCCACGTCACCACTTCTGTGGAATCCCCGACAATGCATAATCTGAATCAAACTGCGAAATCTATCACATAAAATTCAAAAGATGGGCTTTCTCTGATACGACTTGCCTACACATCATGAACAAAAACATCACGAACAAAATAATGAAGGATGAGGAATCATTCTGGATTAAAGGAAACAAGAGAAAACATGACAGCAAAACGCAGCCCACAAAATTGGCTTTAATCAGGAGAAAACAGTTATAAGGATTTTAAATGAAAAACAGAACACATTTAAGTATGGACTGAGGGTCAGAGAATAGCACATTAACAATGTAATTTTCTGATTTTGATCTAGATACTGTGATTATAGAAGAGCCTATCCCGATTCCTAGAAAATAAACACTGTTTAAAAGAAAAACACAGGCCTAAAATGACATCACTTAGGCCAAGTCACCAAACTCAGGCTTAATGACTAACCCAATTGCAGTTTCAACCTCCCCCAGAAACACAGTGTTAACCAGGAATTCACTCAGGAATTTTCTGATAAGCACCTATGAAGTTAATCTGACACACAGGCCTTCGCCATCCCTTCTAGATGAGGTAATCTGCATAAGATCCGCTGCTCTTCCCTCCAAGGGAAAGTGGCCTTGCTTGAAACAATCTTTTCTTTCCTCTTGCTAATAACTTCCTTGCCCCACCTTCCTTCCTACAAAAACCTTGCATTTTGTACAACTCCTGGGAGCTGCCTTCTACTTGCTTTATGGGATGCTGCGCAGTGTATGAATCATTTAATAAAGCCAATTAAGTCTTCAAATTTAGTCAGCTGAATTTTTGTTAACAATACAAATACTTAGGGACAAAGAGGTATCATCTACAGCATAATCTCAAATTCTTCGGGGGGGAAAAAGATGCGTGAAGCAAAAAAGGCAAGGGCAGTTGATAGCTAGAAGCAGCTAGGCCTTGGTGTTTTCAACTCATCATAAATAATTTCAAGAATATCAGCAATTTTCAGACATAACTACTTAGTGTCAATGGTGCAACAAGAAAGGAAGTCTTTTTTGAGACAAAGGCCAAGGACAGAAAGGAAGCTCTGAAATACCACAATTATGTCTTTGTCCCTGAGAAATCAGGAGATATTCTGCCCCCGCCCCGCCCCTCCTCCTTTCCAGCCAGAAATGGTTTGGGAGTGTTAACCTTAAAAGTAAAACTGCCAGTTATGTTACTGGAATAGCAAAAAAATCGCAATCCAGGACAAGCAAGATACAGCAAAAACAGGCAAGTCCACAGAACGAAGGAGAGGAACACTCTTTTACAGGGTAAAGGGAGAACGGGAATGCTGTCATAAAGAAAAAGTCCATTGGAGCAAACTGGGGCTTGGAAGTATAGTGGCTTTTCATTGGCTGAGTTTTGACAATCTCTCATTGGCTGGGCTGACGCGGGGCGGGGGGGGGGCGGAAGCCATTCTTCCCCCCTCTGGGATAGTAACCAAGAGCTAAAATAGTATCAGGTGATCTCTTCCAATTGGGTCTGCAACTGACAAGAGTTATGGTAGGGTATGAGGGCTTTCCCCTGCCAGCCTCGGACTCCATTCTAAAGGAGGTTTCTCTTTATTAATTTTACACAGGACTAACTCCTCAGAAGGGGTTCGGGACTATCGAGCTTCCTATAGGGATCAAAAAGAAGTGCCAGGACTCACTGCAGCCACGATATTCGTGGCTGTCCGGTTACTAAGCACAAAATTAAAGAGTCTAATACCAAGAGACCACCATTCACCACGCGGCAGGAACTGTCCTTAAGACTTTTATTTATACCATCTCCTTGGATTCTCAAACCACTGGATTACAGGAAGGTAGGAATGTCATCCCAATTTTACAAACAAAAACAAAAACAAAAACAAAAACACCCCAACCCCCCCACCCCCCGGAGACAGAGAAATTTAAGTGGCCCAATGAATGTTCAACCGCGCGACAAGGGCAGAGCGAGGGAAAGGCGGGCGGCCTGGGGAGGCAGGACTGCAGGCGGAGAGTCCGGGAGACCCTCCGCCAGGCCATACGCTGCTCAACCGCCTCAAACGCCAAGAGGGTCCCCGGAGGGGAACGCCACTCCAGCCCTCAAGCCACCTCTCTCGCGCGCAGCTCTCCCCCCCAAAATAAATGGGCAGTGGTACTAGCACCCAGGGAAGTTCAGGAGGGTCCCGAAACCAGAACCCACTTACCACAGCGACCGAAGAGCCTGCGGCAGAGCCCACAACGGAGCCCGGAGCAACCTGGCCACCTGAGCGGAAATGCCTGAGGCCGCCCCGCCCCAAACTCCGCTGGGGATCGACTACCCAGAATTCCTCTCTCCCGGCTGCTTTGCGGAAGTACCCGGGTCTCTACCGAACTGGCGGACTACATTTCCCAGAAGTCCACGGAACACCGGCCCCATTCCCACCCTCCCCGGCCGGAAGTGCTTGCGACTCCTGGGAGATGCGGCTCTGTAGTTCCCCCACTGGTCGTGGGGGCCGAGTTCGTGTAGTCCAGTTCTTGGGCGATAACGTGCGTTCCCATACTGGGGCTAGAGTTCACCTCTCCCGGAATCCGGCATCAGAAAAAATTCTGTTATTTAAGCTATTAGTTTTGTCTCTACAATAATAGCAAACCTAGCTAATATATCACTGGAAAGGTTAGTCTGAAACTGCAATGATGAACTTAAGATCTTCAGAAGAATGCCCAAGGTCAAGGCTTAAGAAGCTGTACATTTGGAAATCAACACAGCAGAACTGTTGAGAAAAACACTTTAAAACTATTAGAAAATTCATGGGCCCAAGAGAGGTATGGTAATTTGGTTGATTCTTTATTACCTCTCCCACAGGAGTCTGAATCACCCAAAATCCACCAGTCGCTTCCATTCTGTCAGTACAGTATCACGTGATGGTCTAAAGAAATATTGTGCCACAGAGAAGCGCCTTTAACAGGAATAGCCAAGGCACCTCAACAGAACCTCATGGACACAAGTCTTGGAGTTACCTGGGATATTTGGTAGACCACTCAGATGGAATAAAGGCCAGAGACAATGCCAGAAGGACAAATAAGACTGGACACACGTGGTTCCAGATCCCGGCTCTAGGCACCCCAACTGGACAACACTCACTACCAGTAATGACCAAATTCAGGCAGCAGAGGGCAACATAAAAAAAATTGGCACTACATAATGTGGGCCTTCTCGAGGCTAGGGGCCTGGCCCTATCTACTTGGATCTAAGAGCTATATAGTCTCCTTCATTCTAACTGACAATCTCACTTCCTTAAGCACACATAGTCTTTTGTTTTTATTTAAATTCTAGTTAGTTAACATACAGTGCAATAGTAGTTTCAGGGGAATTCAGTGATTCATCACTTACATAAACACCCAGTGCTCATCATAACAAGTGCCCTCCTTAATACCCATCACCCATCTAGCCCATCCCCCACCCATCTCCCTTCATCAACCTTCAGTTTGTTCTCTATCATTAGGAGTCTTTTATGGTTTATTTCCCTCTCTCATTTTCCCCCCTCCTGTATGTTCATCTGCTTTGTTTCTTAAATTCCACATATGAGTGAAATCATATAGTAATTTGTCTTTCTCTGACTGACTCATTTCGCTTAGAGTAATATACTCTGGCTCCATCCACATCACTACAAATGGTAAGATTTCATTCTTTTGATGGCTGGGTAATATTCCATTGTTTTTATTTATATACCACATCTTCTTTATCCATTCATCAGTCAATGGACATTTGGGCTCTTTCCATAATTTTGCCATTGTTGATAATGCTGCTACAAACATTAGGGTGCATGTACCACTTTAGTACATATAGTCTTATAAGCTGCACAGCTGTGAGTATCTTCATGTATGATGTCAGCCCTAGCCTGACATCACCAAAACTGGCCTTTAAAAAGACTGGGCTTATGACAGAAATTCCACTCCCAATACCCAAGAGAAATGGTACCCAAGAGAAATTAAAACATATGTACACACTTGTACAAAAATGTTCATAGCATTATTCAGAATAGCCAAATTATAGAAACAATCCAAATGTCCAGTAACTGATGACTAGGTAAATAAAATGTGGTATATTTACACAATAGAATCTTATTCTGTGATTAAAAAATGAAGTACTGATTCATTCGAGGGTTAACCTTGAAAACGTGCTTAGTGAAAAAAAGCTAGACACAATAAAGAATGTATTTTATGATCCCATTTCTATGAAATGTGCAGAAGACATCAGTCTATACAGGAAGATTAGTTGTTATCAGGGACTTGTCCATTGGGAGTGGAAAACGGCTGCTAATGGATGGGGGCATGTGTTGGTGGGCTGCTGAAAAACTCTGGAATGAGATAGTGGTGATAGTTTAAATCTTTGTGAGTATACCAAAAATCATGCAATCATACACCTTACAAGTGTGAATATTAAAGTATGTGAATTATATCTTAACTGAAAAAAGATATTGGCCTGTTTGAAACTATTTCCCATTCACATGTTACTATGGACTGGATTGTGCCCCTCTGCCATGCATATGCTGAAGCCCTAAACTCCAGTGTGACTGTATTTGGATATAGGGTTTTTAAGAAGGCAATTAAGATTAAATAGGTCATCAGAGTGGGGCCCCAATATGATAGGATACAAACAAATGGAAAAGTATTCATGTTCACGGATTGGAAGAATTGATACTATCAAAATATCAACATTACCAAAAGCCATCTATAAATTCAATGCAATCCCTATCAAGATTCTAATGGCAATTTTTTTTTTACAGAAGTAGAAAAAACACTCCTAAAATTTATATGGCACCACAAAAGACCCCCAATAGCCTGAAAAAGAAGAATAAAGCAGGAGGTAACACACTTCCTGATTTCAAGCTATACTAAAAGTTATAGTCATCAAAACAGTATGATGCTGGCATAAAAACAAATAGATCAATTGGACAGAATTGATAGCCCTAAAATAAACCCAAGCATATATGGTCAACTAATATTTGACAAGGGAGTCAAGAACATTCAATGGAGAAAAGACTTTCTTTCCCAATGAATGGTACTCGGATAATTGGATAGTCACATGTAAAAGAATGAAACTGGACCCATATATATACCACTCAAGAAAATTAACTCAAAATGAATTAAAGACTTAAATGTAAGAAACTCCTAAAAGAAAACAGGAATAAAGCTCCTTAACATGGGTCTTGGTTATGATTTTTTGGATATGACACTTAAAGCACAAAGAACAAAATAAAAAATAAACAAGTGAGACTATATCAAGTTAAGAAGCTTCTGCACAGCAAAAGAAACCATCAACAAAGTGAAATGACAACCTATGCAATGGGGAAAAAAAATCTACAAGCCATATATCTGGTAAGAGGATAATATCCAAAATAGATAAGAACTCATATAACTCAATATCAAAACAAACAAACAAGCCACCCCCCTCCCAAATAACCTAACTAAAAATGGGCATAGGACCTAAACAGACACTTCTCCAAAGAAGACATACAAAATACCAACAAGTACATGAAAAGACGCTCACTTTTACTAGTCATTAGTAACACCCCAATTAAAATCATAGTGAGATATCATTTTGTGCATGTTAGAATGGCCATCAACAAAAAGACAAGAGATAACAAATGCTGGCATGAATCTGGAGAAAAGGGAACACCTGTGCACTGTTGGTTAGATTGTAAATTGATACAGCCACAGTGGAAAACAGTACGGAGGATCCTTAAAAAATTAAAAATAGAACTACTACTATATGATTCAGCAATTCCACTTCTGGGAATATACCCAAAGGAAATGAAAACACTAATTTGCAAAGATATCTGCACCCCCATGTTTGTAGCAGCATTATTCACAATAGCCAACACAAGGAAACAACTTAAGTTTTCATCAATGAATGAATGGATAAAGAAGTTTGGGTATATATTTACAATGGAATATTATTCATCCATAAAAAGAAATGATCAATGCTCGCTTCAGCAGCACACATACTAAAAAAAGAAATGATGAAATCCTACCATTTGCAACAAAATGGATAGATTTTGAAGACATGCTAAGTGAAATAAGTCAGACAAAGACAATTACTGCATGATTTCACTTATATGTGGAATCTAAAACAAAAACAAAAATCTAAAACAAAAACAAAAATCTAAAACAAAAAACAAACTCATAAAGAAAGGGAACAGATTTGTGGTTACCAAAGGCAGAGGGTGGGGAGTGGGGGGAATTGGAGGAAAGTAGACAAAAGCTATAAACTTCCAGTTATAAGATAAATAAGTACTAGGGATGTAATGTATAACATGATGACTACACCTAATACTGTCATATAATATATAGGAAACTTCTTAGAGTAAATCCTAAGAGTACTCATCACAAGGAGAAAATGTTTTCCTTTCTTCTCTTTATTTATGCGAGAAGATGGATGTTAGCTAAAGCTATCGTGGTAATCATTTCACAATATATGTAAATCAAACCATCACACTGTACACCTTAGACTTACACAGTGATGTATGTCAATCATTTCTCAATAAAATTGGGGCTAAAAAGAAAATAAATATTTGGTTAATATGTATGTGAAAATATTTATAACAAAATAATGGGTATTTATAACTATTAGAGTCATCATTGTTGGAACTGATGTAATAGTGTTATCTACAACTATCACCTTTCACTACTCATTCCATATTCCCCTTACTCTCAGAAAACACCTCACTTCATTGTGGTTCTTTTCCTAGTGGAGGAACCAAATTCTCATTCTTAAAGGTTTTGAGACATTAACAGTCCTGCCTGAATTGTGGTGTTGTATTTTTCCATTGTTTTTTAATCGTAAGACATGGTGCTTTTAAGAGACACCCTAAGTGATCTCTTGCATTCTGGACATATTCTTGCTTACCTCCACTGTGTTATAGCAACTCAATTCTCTCATTGTTATCAGCATCAATTACCCAGCCAGTAAAATAACCCCCTTCTTTGACTATTCATTTAGATGTAAGAGACATCAAGTGCCTAGTTGGAAGTATCAAGTTCAAATTCAATGGAATCATTATTGTGTCTTCTGATGGAATCATTCATTCCCTTGGAAATAAGATCTCTATAGAGCTTGTTCATGGAGACAGGAAGCAAAATATTTGCTATTGGATCACTTGAAGTAATAGTGAGTGGAGCCACTCAAATTTCTACCCCTGGATTCCTGATCTTGTGAAACTTGTTTATGGGTAAAAGAGCACCGTATTCTGGGCACTGATTTAAATCATATACAGCATCTATGAGGACGTTGTTCCAGCCCAACAAGATACTGCCACCTACCTGGTAATGCAACTAAATTTTCAAAAGGTTAGTCCATTTTCTATTAATTCAACTACTTCAAGGTAATGGGGAACATGATAGAAACAGTGCATTCCATGAGGATGGGCTCATTGCCACACTTCATTTGCTATGAAGTAAATCCCTAATCAGAAGCAATGCTGTGTGCAGATTCCTCAAAAAAATTAAAAATAGAACTACCATATAATCCAGTAATTGCACTACTGGGTATCTACCCAAAGAATATTAAAACACTAATTCAAAGAGATATATGCACCCCTGTGTTTATTGCAGCATTATTTACAATAGCCAAATTATGGAAGCAGCCCAAGTGTCCATCAGCAGATGAATGGATAAAGAAGATGTGCGCATATATATATATATATATATATATATATAGGAATATTATTCAGCCATTTAAAAAATGAAATCTTGAGACACCTGGCTGGCTCAGTTGGTTAAGCATCTGCCTTCAGCTCAGGTCATGATCCCAGAGGCCTGGGATTGAGTGCACTGGGCTCCTTGCTCAGCGGGGAGCCTGCTTCTCCCTCTGCCTGCTCTGCCTGCAGCTCTCCCTGCTTGTGCGCTCTCTCCCCTGACAAATAAATAAAATCTTTTTAAAAAATAAAATAAATTAAAAAATGAAATCTTGCCATTTGCAACAACATGGATGGATCTAGAGAGTATAATGCTAAGTAAAATAAGCCAGTCAGAGAAAGACAAATACTATATGATTTCACTCATATGTGGAATTTAAGAAACAAAAGAATAAAGGAGAAAAAAGAGACAAACCAAAAAACACTCTTAACTATAGAGAACAAACTGATGGTTACCAGAGGGGATGTGGGGGATGGTTGAAATAGGTGAAGGAGATTAAGAGTACACTTATCTTGATGAGCACTGAGTAATACATGGAATTGCTGAATCACTATATTGTACATCTGAAACTAATACAACACTGTATATTAACTACACTGGAATTGAAATAAAAATAAATTTTAAAAAAGAGAGTTAATGCTGTGTGGAATCCTACAACAGTGGAAAAGAACTGTTAGAGTACACAATTGGTAGTTTTGGCAAAAGCACTACAGGCCTGGAAGGTGAATCTATTTCCAGAGTGTCTATTCAATTCAAAACAAGGCACTGCCCCTTCCATGATGGGAATGGTCTAATGGGACCAAACTCCCACAGGTAGTTGCAAAATCATCCTGGGGAAAGGAGCTATATAAAGGAACTGGTGTTGGTCTCTGACGCCAGCAACCGGGCACTCAGCAATGGCTATGGGCAGGATGGCCTTGGTACATGGAAGTTTAAGTTGCTGAAACTGTGGATAACCTCCATTCCTGCCATTATGGCCACTTGGCTCATGAGTTCACTGGGCAATGACAGAAGTGGCTGTTGACAAAAGCTAAAAGCAACACACTGGGTCAAACTACTTACTTATTAAAACCCTCCTCTACTGAAAGTACCCTATGGTGGTCATTTACATGGAGCACACTTATCTTCACATTCTTTCCCCACTCAGTGGTCTATCCAAAATACCTCTCCCTTAGGATCCTGTGCAACCAATTTTCCAATCATTTATCTTTGAAGAACCTGAAAATCCAGCCAAACACTTGGCCATCACCCACGAAACTATATAGACTCTTAATTCTAGCCATTTGTTTCTTCAGGCCAAATGAGCAACCAAGGTGCACTGCTCAAAGTTCTGCCCACTGGAAGGATTTCCCTTCACAACTGTCCTTCAGGGATGTCCCAGAAAGAGTGTTATGTTTCAGTTGAACAATTCCAGGTCTGTGCCTCCATATCACACAGAACCATCTGCAAATTGGTCAGGAGTGAGTTTTCCCTTCCTCACCCAACTAGTCATAAGGAACTTTCTGTAAAACTATACAGGCACACTGGGAGAAAGTAATGTAGCACAAGTATGGACCATGGGCATTTGGGCCATTTACTGATGCTTTCAATGCCTCATATATATTTCCATTTACTTCTCATATATATATCTCTCTCTTTCATTTGATAATGGAGTGCTTCTGTACATGCCCACATCTAAGCTTACATTGGTAAGATGACACCTAGTCCATGAAGGCAAGGTCAGGGTATATGGTAACTTGGTAGCCCATGGTTAACTATTCAGCCACTACTAAAGTGCAATAGTAAAGCAAAAGCTGTTTCTTAAAGAGAAGATAGGTGTGTCTGTAGAGGATGCAGGGGTTTGTGCCAAAATTCTAAGGGTCTGTGCTATGAATCA